GCAAGGATGGGGGAAGTCTAATTTTGTTTTTTTTTTTTTTTTTTTTTTCAGGAGATGGAGATTTTTTATTGGTTTGAAATGGTAAAGTGACCGGTGCTAGTTCATAGGTTTCTACAGACGTAAATGAACAATGATTACAGCCAAATCACCCTTAAAGGAGACATTTTTTACTACATTTTTGCACAATTGTTCCATCATCATAAACAGACCTGGAGTTGTCTTTAGTTCCATCCACGCTAATATCAAGAACTTCTGGCACTTCCGCACTGGCACTTCCGTCCCTTCTGGTGCAAAGCTTCTCTTGGTCATGGTCCTATACTTGTATGATGTCATGATACAAAATCCTGTTCTTATCATTTGTTTACCACATGTTTCTACTGAAGATATTATTTCACATTCTTTTTTTTTTTCCAATTATTTTTATTGAAGACACAAGTAATAAAATACAATGCAGTGTCAAATACAATGTTACAATGTCTTTTTTTTTTTTTTTTTTTCCTTTTGCTTGATACAATAATGATACAAAGTTACACAAATGTAGAATAACACCTGTTATAATCCGTTTTTATAATAGTTGAACACAAAAGGAACAAGAACAAAAACAAACCCACCCCGTCTCAGCTTATCAATCATGGCATCAAATATTTTATGGTACAAAACAAATGTATAGTTCCAAACATAATAGGCTATTACACATATGTCCTGGTGTCCTGGCCAGGGAGCGGCATAGATTCAATCTGGTAGAGCACGCAGATCAGAAAAATAACTAATAAAGCATTGCCATACCTGGAAAAATTTGTGAGTGTGTCCTCTTAAAGTGTATTTTATCTTTTCAAGTTTTAGGAAACCCATGACATCTTTTAGCCATTGGGAAAAAGGGGGACATTTTGCAGATTTCCAATGAAGCAATATTAATCGTCTTGCAATTAGAGACGTAAAGGAGATAATATCTCTTTGCATAGAGGTCAAAGCAACTGAATCAGTTATACCAAATATGGCAATCAGAGGACTGGACCCTAAGTTTAAACCCAGAACTTTTCCCATAGTAGTGAAATAACTAGACCAAAAACTGTAAAGGGAGGGACATTGGAAAAACATATGACTAAGATGACAAGAAGAACCTTTACATCTATTACATTTGTCTTCAGTTCCAGGAAATATTTCAGAAAGTCTTGACTTAGAGAAGTGTACCCTGTATAAAACTTTAAATTGTATCAGACTGAGCCGAGCACATGAGATAGTTCGTATTCTGTCAATAGCTTTGTCCCAAAGATCCCCATTTATAACAATCCCCAACTCCATTTCCCATGCATTTTTAATTTTCAAACTGGATTGATCATTTGCAGATAGTATAAAATCATATAATTTGGAGATATATCCTTTTTTATGTATATTGAATGAAAACACAATTTCCCAGGGCTGCTCTCGAGGAGCAGTGGGAAAGTTAGGAAATAGATTTGAAACAAAGCTACGAATCTGAAAATAGCGAAATAAATGACTTCCAGGTAAAGTATGTTTGGCAGAAAGATTAGCAAAACTATCAAATATCCCTGATGTATATAGGTCTTTAATTTGCCTGATACCCTTATCATACCAAATAGAATAGCTGGAATCATATAGCGATGGTGGAAATAGGTGATTGTTGTTCAATGGACCCAGTGTAGAGGCTGATGTATTCCCAAAACCACGTCTAAACTGATTCCAAATCTTAAGTGTGTCCAGTACCACTTTGTTGTTAGTATACAAGGATAGTTTTGTAGGAATAGAGGAAAAAATCAAAGCTGAAAGAGATGAACCTTCACATGATAAGTGCTCTAGTTTGCACCATAGAGTCGTCGGAGACTTTAGTAAGTAGCATAGTTTATGGATGTGAGCTGCCCAGTAATACGATTGGAAGTTGGGCAGTGCAAGTCCGCCGCTAAGTCTACACCTCTGCAACAATGGAGGTTTCCCATCCCAAATAAAATCACCGATAATCTTGTCTAAAGTGTCAAAAAAGTTTCTAGGAAGAAAACTGGGGATAGTCTGAAATAAGAAGAGAAATCTGGGCAAGACATTCATTTTGATCACATTAATCTTGCCAATAAGGGATAATGGGAGATAACGCCATTTCTGAAAGTCTGACTTAATTTTTGTGATGAGAGGGGTATAATTAGCCGAAACCAAAGAGGTAAAAGAACGAGTGATGTTTATACCTAAATATTTAAACCCAGATGGGCTAAATTTAAAAGGAAATTCACTTTGTTGAAGGTTGCAAGCAGCATTGTTGATTGGAAAACATTCACTCTTTTCAAAATTTAATTTATACCCCGAAAAAGAGCCAAAGTTATCGAGGATACTCAAAACAGTTGGAATAGTGGTGGTATAATCAGTTACGTACAGAAGCAAGTCATCAGCATACAATGACAATTTGTATTGAATGTTATTTCGCATTATCCCTTTAAATAATGGAGCAGCTCTTAGTGTGATTGACAGAGGCTCAATTGCAATGGCAAAAAGGAGAGGCGAGAGAGGGCAACCCTGACGTGTCCCGCGACCCAGAGTGAAGTAGTCAGAGTAAATGTTATTGGTGTGTACACTAGCCTTGGGTGATGAGTATAGGAGACGGATCCATGCAATTAATCTATTGCCAAAGCCAAATTTGGATAAAGCTGAAAACAAATATTCCCACTCCACCCTATCAAAAGCTTTCTCCGCATCGAGCGAAATGACCAATTCAGGAATATCTGATGTATGTTTTGAATAAATAATGTTTAGTAAAGTGCGAGGATTGAAAAATAACTGGCGTGACTTTATAAAGCCATTTTGCTCGGTGGAAACAATGGAAGGAAGTACATTTTCCATACGGGAAGAAATTGCTTTAGCTAGCACCTTAACATCAGAATTTAAAAGTGATAAGGGCCTATAGGACCCACAGAGTGTAGCATCCTTGTCCTTCTTATGAATTAACGTGATTGTGGCTTGTGTGAGCGTGGGTGGCAGATAGCCATTCTCCAGTGATTCATTAAACATGGCTAGAAGCAGTGGTCCCAGTTTCTCAGCGAACTTTTTATAAAATTCAATCGGTATCCCGTCGGGTCCGGGTGCCTTATTTGATTGTAATGCTTTAATTGAGTTTAAAATTTCGATGTTAGTGAGTAGGGAATCCATGCTCTCAGCAATGTCAGGGTCGACCATTGGATTATCAAGGTCACGGAAAAAATCGTCCATTTTGGAGCTGTCTGGGGGAAATTCTGATTTGTATAAGGAAGAATAAAATGATTTAAAGGCGTTATTAATTTCAATAGGGTCAGCAGTAATAGTATCTTCTGCATTTTTTATACTTGATATATTACGTGAAGCATTTTGTCGTTTCAGCTGGTGAGCCAAAAGACGACTAGCCTTATCGCCATGCTCATAATATGTGCCACGGGTTTGTAATATTAAGCGCTCTGCTTCACGAGTAGTTAAAAGGTTAAATTCTGTTTGCAGATCCAAGCGTTGTTTATGAAGTTCTGAGGACGGGTTTATTGCATATCTTTGGTCAATATCGGCAATAGCTGTGGTCAATTCGTTCATCCTAAAATCAGACTTTTTCTTTGATAAGGCATTGTAGTAAATTATTTGGCCCCTAAGATAGCATTTGAGTGTCTCCCATATTAATGAATGTGAAGTAGAAGAAGTTTTGTTAAACAAAAGAAATTCATCAATTGATTTAGAAATGAAATCACAGAATTCCTTATCAGCCAAAAGAAGTGAATTAAACCTCCAACGAGGTGGGGCGTGTCTTTGGGTATCAAAGTGAATGTCTAATAATACTGGCGCATGATCAGATATTGTTATACTCAGATAATCAGCTGAGATCACAAATGGGTTTAACGCTCTATCAATTATGAAATAATCAATCCTGGAGAAGGAATGATGAACTTGGGAAAAAAAAGAATATTTCTGACCAGAGGGGTTTAGAGATCTCCATGGGTCAATAAGATCATTAAGTTTCATAAAATTGGAGAAAACTTGTGCCATAGCCGACAGAGTTTGAGTGCGTGGATTTGATCGGTCCAAATTTGGACTAATAACACAATTTAGATCAGCAGCAAAAATGATTGAGTGAGTATTCAGAAAGGGGAGGCTGCTCAGTAATCGATTGGCAAAGGCAGGATCATCAAAATTTGGAGCGTATGCATTAATTAACAAAACCGGTTTCCCCATCAAAGTACCAGCAACTATTAAAAATCTACCTTGTTTATCAGCTATAATCTTAGTGGAAAAGAATTGTAAATTTTTATGGATCAAAATGGCAACTCCTCTTGATTTTGAATTAAAGTCAGAATGAAAAATCTGACTCACCCAAGGACAGCGCAATCTGTGATGATCATTATTTCTAAGGTGCGTCTCCTGCAAAAACACTACAGAGGGCTTCTGACGTTTCAGATGCGAGAACACTTTAGATCTCTTGACAGGGTTGCCCATCCCTCTAACATTCCAACTTATAAATCTGCAAGGTGTGCCAGGCCCGGCCATTTTAGGATTCACGGTGGTACTAGCCATTTGATCAAATAGCATAGAGCTGAGGCGGCCCCCCTCCCCCCAATTCCCCTAGAAAACAAAAAACACCCAAAGTCCCCCAAAAACTTTCGAACAGTGGAGACAGCAGTGTATTGAGTAAAGAGGAAAAACATGCTCACTTAAAGCAAGCACTTCGGAGTCAAGGAACTATTCTAAAAAGGAAGAAAACAAATAAAATAACTAAGAAAGAGAATGTGAAGGGACTCCCACCAAACACATATCCTAAAATCAAAGTGCGCATTGTAATGGTATTCAAACAGTATCACAAAAGGTAAGATTTAACTTGTATGAGCAGCACAAATTTTACATAAATGTATGCACGTAATGGTAAATGTGAATCACGAACTTTCAACGTAAATGAGAAGCTGCATTGTTGATCAGTCTTATATTGAATAGTGAAAAAGGAGTGAAAAAATGTCCAAGAGATGAGGTCATACCGGTGTATCCACAAATTACCCTGTTGTCATGGTCTTCACGTATTGTCCAGCGTCATCAGCGGAGGTGAATTCCTTCTCTGCTCCCCTGTAGGTGATCCGGAGCCGCGCTGGGTAGAACAGACCATACCGGACGCCCTCGATGTTTCGGAGTTGTCGCCTCACGTCATTGAATGCAGCCCGCGCCCGAGCCACACCGTCAGTGTAGTCAGGGAAAACAGATATGGTCATATCACGCACCTTTATCTGTCCCCGCTCTCTCGCACGGCGTAAAATGTCCACACAGTCGCTGTAGTAGTGAAGCCGACAGACGATAGCTCTGGGACGCGTGCGCTCTCCTGGTGCTGATTGACGAGGAGCGGTTCGATGAGACCGGTCCAGACGGGGCTCGTTGTCCAACCCGAGTGTCTCTTTAAGCAGGGCAGCGACAGCAGTGGTGGTGCAGGTGTTGGGACCCTCGTGGACTCCAACAATTCTTATGTTTTGCCGTCTCGATCTGGCCTCGAGATTTTCACATTTGCCTTCCAGCCTGGTTACCGTTGCAGTGAGATGTGCCACAGTAGTTTTCAAATTGGTTATATCATCTGTACATTCAGTCCGAGACTTCCTAATTGCGTTCTTTCCAGACATTTAAACGTGACCGTGCGACTCACTTAAGATGAATATGTGCTTCAACTAAGCAACCATGTAAGATTTGTAAATAAAAGCGCAAATAAATGTTACTTTTAATCGTATTCGGCAGGAGCCCGCAATCACACGTCCTACTCCATGAACAGCTCCTCCCTCCTTCCAGTCTAATTTGTTTAAGCAGCAGAAGACGAAAGGTAAAAAACGTATACAGACGTGATTTATGTTGCGCCCATATTATGTGTTTTATCTTTTTAATGCAAATTCTGAAATCGTTCACACTTATATATAAATGTAGATGTGAAAATAAGCTTTAAAATGATATATAGCTTGTGGGTTATGAAGTTCAAAATATATCTACTGTTGCCAGCAGATGCATTTTTTTCTTAAGGGGTTAAAAACATGCACAATAGGTCTGAATGTAATGAGTGAATGGATGGTGTTGATGCGCCATGTGTCTCGCTTCCATAATCACCGTGTGTGGAGAGAATGAAACAATATCTGAACTCTGAACATTGTAAGCGCTTTAGGTACAGTAACTTTGGTCTGTAAAAATGCGCTATATAAATAAAGTACTTACTCACTTACTTACTTACTACTTACTAAATCAAACCTGTGAGAAAATGTAAAACAAAAAAAATCGTTATACAGGCAACTCAACAAACAAAAAAGAAAAAGAACCAATACATTGAGAAAAACCTAGTCCCGCCATGACCAAAATGTGCATATTCTGCCATTTTGTTTTCTTTATCATAAACAAGACATTTGACATTATGCAAACCTGTCATGAAATGGTAAAAAGTTGATATTGTGATGTTATTGTCACATGTGTCTTTTGAGTTTCCCTTCGCAAACAGATCATTCTTGTCTTTACCCACATCTGTCTGAGAGGGAACACATTTTAGAGAACATTATAGAAATACAGCAACTAAGCTTTACCTGGGATCATCTGTTCTCAATCTTTCCAGTTCTTTACATCGGATGGACTGTCTGGATTTATGGGATAGAGAAGGTTTGCAGACACTTTTTCCAGAGACCGTAAAAAGAACATGATGATCTGGTTATTGGACAAATTCTTTTAAAACATCCCAATCATGCCTCTTCTTTGTTTTTCAGAAATTCAAAGTTATGTTTCTGCTTTTCATTAGTTATTATTGTTCTGACCTGACCTGCTGATTCTGTATATCATACCGTGTTGTGTGGTAAATGTGAATCTTAAAATGAATCTTATTGCAGTTGTTGCTTAGAGATGTACACCTCGTCTGTCTGTCTGTCTGTCTGTCTGTCTGTCTGTCTGTCTGTCTGTCTGTCTGTCTGTCTGTCTGTCTGTCTGTCTGTCTGTCTGTCTGTCTGTCTGTCTGTCTGTCTGTCTGTCTGTAGATACCGATGCTGTCTCTTGCTGCTTGGTCCCCTTTCCTAGCTTGTCTTTCTCACTATTGTGTTGTTTTTATTCATCACAGGTTTAATTTCTATTGATTGGTGATCCGATCAATTTCTCTGCGCTTAATTTGAGAATGTTTTATATACATTTTTCAAATATTGAAAACATGTGAATGAAAATCAGGGCCTGAGTTTACGAGGAGGCAGGAAGTCAAAAGTGAACATTGTGTCCACTTCAGATACATATCTTGAAACAGATCTGTGAAGCAGACTTGGTCCAGTTGAAGATAAACTCAACTTTGTGCAGTTTCTTGCGCCAGACTTCAAAACTCAGAGAATGTTTGTCTTGGCAGTAGATTATAGCTTCAGGAATAGGTTTGGAAATAAGCTTCAATATCGACTCTGTGTGGAGTCCCCGAGTCTGTGGAGGTTTCCTCTGGGTGCTCCGGTTTCCCCTACCTGTCATAGTTTGGGTTTATATCCTGTTTTGTTTTGTCATTTGTCAACCCCTGTCATGGATGTATTATAATAACTGGATAGGGTATTACTAGCTTGTAGCTGAATAACTCATGTGCTCAGGGGATTCTCGCGGTACTGCAGACTGAACCAGACTAAATTCACGTGGGCTACCCAGAAATTTTCCCCATAGGACTCAATGCATATTAAAACAGCTCGACCTCAGCTGACAGAGAACCTACAGCTTTAATAAAGATCGGATTTTGTGGGGATTTTAGTGTCCCTTGTCATCCTGAACTTTTTTTCTTCTTAAATCCTTCGGTTTTGTTTAAATCCACACTTTAGTGCCACAAACTCTGCTCGTCTGGCTCTCGCTCTAACTCCCGCTCTGATGAACTGCTCTGATTGGTCAGAGCGCGGCCGAGCCCCTCTGTGCACGTGCGTGAGACCTGGTGTGAGATCCACACACGCGTGTTTGGCGCAATGCATTATGGGAGATCATCCACTGCGCAGAACCGGGAGGACCAGACGATGCCCAAATACAGGCGAGTTTCCCATAGATCTTTGTGAGTTTCCCAAAGTTCTTTGCGAGTTTCAGGCCACTTCCGCTAATCTTTTCAGCCCCCATGCCGTCACAAAGCGCCACTGAGCACAACCATTCATTTGAATAGGGCGCCATCTTGAATCGCCGGGGCTTGACCCCTGTAGGTCCTGTAGTTGTACTTCCTGTTGTCTGATTACCTGCCCCGCCCTCACTTGTGTCATGTGTATTCAATACCTGTGTATTCCTTTTTTGCCTGTTGCATCATTGTCATTTCCACTTTTTTAGTTTTTTGTCTTCACCCCCAGTTTTTATCTATTATTTTTGCAGTCTCACGTTTTGGGTTCGTTTCATTTTGCCTTCAGACACTACCACTACAAACATGTACAATAGCTCCGGCATTCACCTCCTGCTGGCCATCTGGCTATAAATACTATCAAAGTGCTACATAAATAAAGATGACCTATTTACTTACTAAACCCAAAATACCAGATAAGCGTTAGTCACTCCAAGTTTATTTGAATATGATGTAAGCTGCAATAACATGAGGTCCTGCATCGCACAGCCTCAGTCCCCGTTCTATAGTCTGAGTCCTGGGTCAATAGCGAGTCTGTCTCACCTTCTCTCACTGGGTTTTTGAGTCATTCCTTGCTGATGTAGGACAGAGATGGTGTGTCACTTTTGGTCATCTGCTCCATATAGACAGATTACTCCTGTGTATTCATTTATTTATTTGATAGGGACAATGCACATTCATGAACATCAGTATGTAAATGTAAATACACCGGATTATAGCTACAAAGCTAGTTTTCATCCGTAGTCCCTAGGCAGGAAAATACAGTACATTGGAAATGACAACATACATTCCTTCATTCATTCATTCGTGTATTTTCAACCCCTTTATTAGTCCATTTCTAGGTCGGGGGGGGGGGCTCTGATTGCCACCCCATACTCATGACACCAGTCCCTCACTGATCCTGCTGCAGGTGGTAGGTCCACAGGAAGATGGCTTGCCCAAGGAGTCAGGACACAACAAGTAAGTAAGTAAGTAAGTAATCTTTATTTATATACCGCCTTTTCACTGCACATCGGAGTCTCAAAGCGGTTTACAATTGTTATTTTTGGGAGTGGGGGTGCCAGTACAGGAGGCACATGCCAGACCTATTGTACATATTTTTAGTGGTAGGGGAAACCGGAGGACCCGGAGGAAACCTACGCAGACACGGGGAGAACATGCAAACTCCACTCAGAAAGGCCCTGGTCCAACCGGGATTCGAACCCAGGACCTTCTTGCTGAGAGGCGAGAGTGCTATCCACTCAGCCACCGTGCCGCCCAACAACAGACATGAGTGAGAGCAGTTGGAGTAAGTCTCGTGGGGAGATCGAACCCACGACCTTCAGGCTCAAAGACCCATACTCTACCAACTGAACCACTGTCGCCCTCAACATGACAACATACAATACAATAAAAAACAACATAACACAATACAATACAGGCAGCACAGGGACAGCTTAAGAGTCTAGTGGTCACATGACTGGTTTCTCTTCAGCCATTGTTTGTTATTATTTCATTTCTCGTGTTTGAACTGTTGGATTCTCTGTTTCTTCTGTTGTGGAGGAATCACCAACTGTGTAAAGTCCTCCGTGGCGACTACTGTTGTGATTTAGGGCTATACAAAGAGTTGAATTGAATTGCTTGTGACACCTCCGCCCCACCTCTTCAGAGCAGTGTCTGTGTTTCCAGGTCGTATCTTGTCTATAATTATGTCATTGTATCATTGCCTCAGCGGCTGTAGCAGTCTGCAAGCAGCATGTAGACACTCGCTCCACTTACACAAACAAATACTTCTTGAAATACTTGGAGAGAAACAATGCAGGAACCCAGAACAACAGCAGTAGTCTGGTTTATATCACTGTTTTCACTTTTTCAGAATACTGTTTGTTGTTCTATGTGGTATTCCACTATAAAAGACTAAGAGGATTGTTTCTTTTATATTTAAAAACAATGTAAAAAACAAAGCAAAATTGAACAATACAAATATGACAAATTATTCAAACATGCATGCATGATAAAAAAAAAAAAAAAAAACAACTGTAAATGTGTATGACACGGGGAAAAACAAACTTACTTTTGCTGTGACCCGTCCTGCTCCACCCAGAGGCTACTCCACCTCTGCCCCTCTGACCCGTCCTGCTCCACCCAGTGGCTACTCCACCTCTGCTGCTGTGACCTGAAGGGCTGTTGCTGATTATTACTATTGTATCTTTTTAGAATGATCAATGTTATGTGTATTGTTGCTGCTACTAGACACCTGAATTTCTCCTACGGGGATCAATAAAATATCTGTCTATCTATCTAACCAAGGAGTAAAAAGTCACTGATGGTCACTTTGGCTTCCTAAAGTGAACTATCAGTCTCTTCTTCTTTAACCCCATGTGACCCAGAGTCTGATTTGTTTCTATATTTGGAGGAAGGTTCAGGCGATATGACA